AACAGTGCAAGCGAAGCAACTGTTCCTGAAAGGACATGTCAAGTCAAACATTTTCTTGACAATAATATGTTCCATGCGGCCCTTCTAGTCTAAACATGGCAATCTCATTAATTACGCGACTGTGGAATCCAAATGAAGCAGCAAAATCCAGCCGTTCTTATTCATCTGACGGGGCAGTCTTTTTGCCACTTGCTGCCGACTCAAAATGAAATCACAGTGCCAAAGGGCCCAGTTAATGATCATCACGGCTCACCTGTCGTCTGGGTTTGGTCATGTGATGTTCACAACCTGAGCCCTCATTTTCAGTCAACAGCAAATGCCAGTACAAGGCAAACTGGCAACCTCGTGAGATGGACGAAAACAAGTGGATTTTTCTCATCAATTCATATTCCACACACTCAAAATGCTATGTTTAGACTAGCATAGAGCATATTAAGAAAAAAAATTTGACTTGACTTTCCTTTTAAACAAAGATGGTGTGCCACATGTGTTGCAGCTTCGATAATACCTCTGAAATTGCCAGATCGACTCCATATACAGAAATACATGAACAGCTACAGCGTGAAAAAAAAGGGAGCTTCTAAGAATCGACTAGCCATCCAAAGCTACCAAACGTTAGCTCCCCCAGGCTGAAGTAGTGTACGTAGCGTTTACGAGCGTGCTAGCGGCTTCTCAACATTACGACTTGGTGCTACGTTCAAAACTTTGTGGTGCTGTAGAGTAGAAAAATACAACCTCTATTTTGTTTGGTTTTTCGGGTGGGGGGTGGGAGGGCGCCCTGCTAAAACTAGAGCCGTCTCTCTTATCATAGCGATGTTGACTACAATGGTGGTGAGAAACCGTACTGGAAAAACTACCGGAAGTTGTGTACTCTTTGAGAAAAAAAAAACAATTAGGTTTGTGACGTTCAAATAACCTCAACATGTTTCTATAGCGTGTGTGTATGAGTGTTGGTGCGTGTGTACATGCGTGCGTGCGTCTGTGCTTCCAAGGTACCCTCTCGAAAAAGTAGTGCTGTTGTTGAGAGTGTGAACCCATCTTAAATGAGTGGAGTCACCAGTAGGTCCATCATCTCAAGTTAGCACTTATTTTTTTCTCAAGCACACAATTGCAGCGGCGTCTCTCACCACACCTCCAGCGTTAAAAGGGACCTTTTCACGTTGACGTCACACCACTTCCAGACTTCTGCAAATGTAGCTTTTTGCCAAACTTTTTTAATCCACACACATCCCCCACTTCTTCACGGAAATAACCAAGCCCTGCCCCTGCCAAGTTGACTGTTTGCTAACAAAAGGTTTGGGAAACAGTTCTTGAAAAATAATAAGATAAGCAGGTTTTATTTAAAAAGACAAAAAAAAACCAAACAAAAAAAACAAAAAAAAAACATGAGCCTCCTTCAACATCACAAAAGATTAGGCACATCCCCCCTCTCTTCAGAAAAAATACAGTGGAAATAAAAAGTCTACACACCCTTGTTGAAATGCCATCCAGGTTTTTGTAACGTTAAAAAAAACATATTCCATACATTAAAAAAAAAACTCTTCCACTGTTGTGACCTATTACATGTACAGCTCAGTTGAACATTTTTAAAAATAATTAAAAAAAAAAAACAGAAATATTGTCGAGAAGGACAATAAAAACAAACTGACAACAATTGGTTAATTCTGAACACAGCCACATCTGTAATTGTGTAAGCTTGTGTTGATTTTACAGTTGTTTACTCTTATTTCCCACTTCACATTCTACAGTTTGTAGGACACATTGATTACCGGTATTTATCTTGGTCTGATTTTTATACGGTATGGTGGATGACTGATGAGCACGTCCACCTCGATGTGCAGGGTTTGATTCTTTGGCCTTCCTGCGTGGAGTTTGCATGTTCTCGAGAGTTTCTCTGAGGGGTATAGACTTTTAATATCCACTATAACAAAGACCATTTCAATATTTAATCATGCAGACCCGATGACAATTTTTGAAGGGTTTTTTTGTGTATATTTTTTTCAGACATTAGTCTTTTTTTTTTTGTGAAGAGAAAAACTGTTACCTCGCTGAGAGTTTCGGCTGTCACTTCAGCCATCTGTCACAGTGACAAAGTGACAATGTCAGCTGGTTAAAAAAAAAAAGACCTTTGTTTGGAAAAAAAAATAGAACCGTACACCTATTTCAACGAATAAGAAGACAAGATGAACATCATAGCGCTATTATGCACCACAGTTTGGGGACAAAAAGCATGGAATGCAATTTTAGTAATTTGTTGTAAAACATTGACGGAAAACAGATTTTCAAAAGTTTTACTTCCTTTAACATCCTGACAAAGATGGCACAGCTCCTCTAATTTTTCATAGTTAGCGTTTCGTCATTAGCACATGTCAAGCTAACTGCATGAGGCAATGGTGTGACTTCACGGTGCAAAGGGTCTTATATTCCTTATAGGACCGAACTGGTTTTGCCACATTTGTACACGGAAAGCTCACACATCCTCTACTTCTACAGGATTTAATCTTCCGAGATATTCTTTTTTTTCTTTTTTTGTATTCTGAACATGGACAGTTTGAAAGAGGGCTGCTTTGGACGTACTGTTAGCTTTGTTGTTTTTGTTTTTTGGTCACAACTTCTCTGCTTCACTAGCTCCTGTCGGGGTGATACTTTAACAATTCTTTTTATTGTATTAATCTTGCATGTCGAGACAATACCAACATTTAGCAATCATTCACGGACATCTGAGCTGGTTGTTAATGGACAGAAACCTAGAATAATATGTAGTATTTTCTATATTCTCTGTTTTTTTTTAATGTGTACCAGCACTGAGGAACTAGAATGTATTATTATTATGATTATTATTATTATGATGATGATTATGATTCTTCTTACTGTAGGCTACAATAAACAGAGCACTACATTGTTAACTGTTTTAGCGTAAAAATGCTCATTACCAAGCAAGCAAGCCACGTAGTACTTCAAAGGAAAGAACATTTACATTTCCCTACCATCCACCCGACTGTGCTGTACATCACATGTTTACATTCTATGTTTGGGTGCAAATTCCTCATTTGTAAATATCGGCGCAATGAACCAGTTTCTTTTCTCTTTTGTTGTTCCGTCCTACCATCAGGTTTAACATGGTCACATTGTGAGCAATTAACTTATACTGTATGGTGCTGTAGCAAAGCCTTATATATATTTACTTTTTTCACGCTGTCAAGTCGCATCTGTAAGGTCATTTTCTTCTGTGTGTGTGTGTGTGTGTGTGTATGCGTGTGTGTCTGTGAAGGAAACAGAAACAAGCTACAATGTTGAAAAAAACAAAAATCACTCTGGCCTGATTCCAACTCCCGGCCTTTTTAAGGGGAGAAAAAGAGTGGTTGTGGCGGCTTGAGCGCACCATCTCCGCTCATCCTCGCCACACGCGGCACTCCTGCCAGAATATGAACACATCCATGTCACCATATCATGTCCATCGCTTAGTCCCATCAGGATTTTTTCTCTCAAATTTTTGTATTTTGATATAATAAAAAAAGATAAAAGAGGTCTTCCCTGTTGTACTTTCTTTGCATAAAGCTGTAAATTGTACTAATATATATTACCTGGAAAAAAAAAAGGTGTTTGAGCTCAGCAGAATAAATATGAAACCACTTCTATTTCACTGGGAGATTATTGCGTCATCAGAAACGAAACACCAGTTTTTCGGCAGTCTTTGGGATCGGAAGATTGAAACGACATACTCCAAACCAAAAAAGTTGGAAACATGCTTTTGTCTAAATGTCTGATAAAAACAACTGCGGCGTCACGCGCAACAAATGAATTGATAAAGAGGTCTGTTGTATCTCAATACTTTTGCCCACAAAAAAAAAAAGTGTAGTTCACATGCTAAACACAGGGTGTAAGTGTTGTGCATTTATGAAAAACAAATAAGTTGAAAGAGAATGACCTTTGTGCTTTTTACTACAATCCTCAAGCCCATTGGCATGCTGGGGAAACAAACACAGGAACAAGCATGTGCATACGCCTGGAGTACCTGTTAATCCACTAGATAAACATTGAAAAGACATTCTTTTTTTCTCCTCAATGAACATGCACTCACACAAGTAATTGTCACAGTCATGTTTCAAAAAAGTATGATTCGGGAAAGAGACTCCTACCACATACCATTTAAAAATCGAAACATTCAGATGAATTCCTCCATTTATAGTGCTGTACTATATTTGTATTCGTGTATCTAACGTGTTGCCTTCCAAATGACAATCATTTTAACCATTTAGTTTTTAGAATCAGTACCATAAAGGTCTAATTTAACAAAACGCAATGCCAAAACATTATAAGCCTAAAAAAATAATAGAACAATAAGGTCGGAAACACATTCAAAATAATGTTTAAAGTTAGAATTATGTTTCCCAGAAAACGAGTTTAATGTGTCAAAAATCGACACTTTTTTAATGCAGTATAGCATGAACACAGTGTTCAAATTAAACTGAAATTTCAATATTTATGTGAAGATCTCATCATGCATCATTTGCATTCAAAGAATTTTGGAAGTTAAAAATACTGTACTACAACTCCTGTTTCAACAAAATGGTAAAGAACATTTAGTCAAACATCGGACCATATTTGTAATTGTCTGTTTGTAAACGATGGGCGTGACTTGTCACATGCCGATTTTTTTCATTGGTCAATGGGTCACCTGTGGCGGATCCCCCCCCCAAAAAAAAAGTGTCACGTGACCCTGGAGGTACAAGACAACACCTGGTGCTAGCTAGCTAATTACATTGAATTCTCATTGCGATTTCGACACTGACTGTGGTGGAAATGAATTGACCTAGCTTGGCGGGGGCGGTGATGAAATGCGTAATATTCTTTAAGCATAACATCCAAAACTGCAACCAATTCACATTTTACGGCCAGTTTTAGCATGACCGCTACCTCCCACCTACACACTCGCTTATGTAAGCGTACGCGCTCAAGGCGAATGAAGTGGAGGGGGGGGGGCGCTCCTCTGTTGTGTGGACCCTTACGAAACACAAGCCCCCACCCCCACGCAATATCCCACGCCTTGTTCTTCTTCCCTTCATAGCCGGCTCCTTGGCAGTGACTCGGCGTGGGAAACACCACCCGCGCTAACGCCATCCCTGCAAGGGGCGAGTACGGAGGCGGTGCCGTGCGCGCTCCCGTGCCAGAGTGTAGCGAGCCGCACACAGAAGAGCTTCACTAGGCTGGCAGGAGTTCCTCTGCGTTTCTTTTTGTCATATTCATTCAAATTTCGCACGTCTACCTCAGCGGTCAGGATAGTCGTGTGCAATCCCGGTGTCGATGCAGTGCCATGCCGACAACATGCTGGCGGATGCCGCGGAGCTGCTCCCTTCGGCGGCTTAGACTAGCGCAGGACCGGCCGCAGCAGGTAGGACGCACCGAGCCGCCCTCACCCTTCATCGTGACATCACGGTACACACAAGTTATCCTGCACAGTCGATGCACACACGTCGCTGTAATGCAGAGGTAGCAGCAATTGTGGCAAGGTGGGTGGGGAGGACACACAGCTGTTGCGTTGGTGCTGCTCCAGGTCAGAGTCCACCTGAAGAGAAGTTACCCCAGTTAGCTGCCAACGACCAGTTGACACTTAAAGCAGTCGAATGCAACATTTGTAAATGTTTGATTTTTTTTTTCTCACAGTTTGGGATTGCTGTATATATAAGTGTCTACAATTTCACGCATGAATATTGTAATAGGCACAGCAGTGCTTTCTAATACAGATGCCACCCTCCTTATGAACAAGGCAGTTTAAGACCCAAGATTTTATCACATAAAATGACAAAACAATGACATGTTACTAATAGGTAGTGCAGAAGCAACGTGTTATCAAACTGACACTGTGTGCATGGCCGGGATAGAACTTGAAAAGTATGGTGAACCCATTTTTTTTGCTCATTAACATGACAGTGATTCGATTAATCAAAGAATTGTCGACAGATCACTTGATTGTTAAAATAATCATTAGTTGCATCCCTACTAGTGTGTGCATTTGGGATTGAATGACTAAAGATTTGTTTGTCGTGACTACAATGTGATGAAAGTTGAGTCAAAGTTGATTAATCTGATGACTTTTTCAGCACAGTATGTTTCCCAACCTTTTTTTTTTTTGCGCCATGGACTGTTTAGATATTTCAATGGACAGGTAAGAAAAGAAAAAAAAAACAAATTTTAAATGTGGCCAGTGCATCGTTGTCTTCATTGATGGCCCGTTTCTTGTCTTTGTGGCCATTCACTTCTTCCTTGACAAGACTGACATGCTTATGTGGTCCAATAATAATGCAGTATAAGTGGAGCCTCGCAGTTCTTCTGTTGAAGTGTGTGCTCAATTGCTTGGTGTGCGTGGTGAAAGTCACCTATTGTAATTTTTTTTTGTTTTTTTTCACTGTGGTCCACGAGCAGGCGTGGGGAGGTGTTTTGATATGATTCAGTCTCACCTAGTTTGTTGTCTGGTGAAGGCCAACATGATGTCACCATTGATGAAGCAGGTGTTCAGAACATTCGGTGAATCCTGGCCCCATCCCATTTCATGAGTTGTGAATTTTTCCCCATCGTCAATCAAGGAAACTGCGTCAAATGCTAGTTTATAAAGTGTTAAATGTGGTAACTATTGAGCACACTGTGGCTGTCGGTGATGTACGGCGAATTAGAAGCACACGTTCAGTGTGAGTGCATTGTTGCGCCGCAGAATGCGGCCAACGCGGACCAGCGGTGGAGACGAGGCCGCCAGTTGCCATGGCAACCCCTCCCATCCACGCTGACGACTCCAGACTGTGGATGAGGTGGCAAGAGGAGAGAAATAAGCCTCCCAGGAACCTTTTGACTCGCTCAATCTGCCCGAGGCGGCATTTTTGCCACCACTCCTCCTTTTCAGACATTTTAACAGTGCACTTGTTGGGGAGAGTTGAAAGGGGGGGGGGGGTTACACTCACATAATCTTCTCCAAATCTGGCAGATTAACTTGATGTCGTCTCACACAGCGGCTCAATCTCCTCGCCGTCACACCGGGGCCAGAGAGCGCAGCGATTAAGCACGCTCTGATTAGATTGTGGACAATAAAGCCACACATATTTAATCAACACGCCCGCCTCTCACCCGGGATGACAATTTAATCCACCCCCACACCAAAAATAGACCACAAAGGTAACTTTTGCTAAAACGCTTGTAGACTCCTACACTGGTTATATCCCTATGCAGTATTGATGACCATTTGACACATTTCCATGGTGGAATATGCGGAAAAGTATCCGTGACTAATCAGGCTCATCTCCTCATGTTTACCCTGAGAAAATATGTAGGCTGCCATTCGTCCTGTCAAGACAGGAGCAGCTGAGGCGCGTTCCATAAACAGCCCGCATGGAGTAGGCTTGTCCTATTTTTTCCCATGTAGGCCATCAGATAGAGGTCTCTTTTTTCATTTTTTTTTTTTTTTTTTAATGCTGCTTTTATTTAAAAAAAAACACCTTTTAAGTATCGTTACCTCAAACGGTTCCTTCTAGGTTGGCTGTCTTGTTTATTCCAGCTTCTGGACCAACAGAAGAGCACGGTGCTGTGTGCTGTGCCGCGCAAGATACTTTGTAGCGGTACAGCCGTGTCACAGAGCGTTTTTTTGTTCCCCCCAACAATGATATTTACATGTTTAACCTGATCAACGTGAACCATTTTATCTGTCACTCATCTCAATGTAAAACCATTTGTAAAGCTGCGCAAGGAACTCGTTGACAATGTGGTAAATGTCAACATTTTGATTAATCTGAAAGACTCATAACCTGCCTTGGTACTGGAGGTGCTGATGTTTTAATTAGCAAATGAATTCAAATGGCCTCATCAGTTAGGTCGTTAATGTCCACAAATGAACAGTAGTAGATCTGTGGATTAAGGTTCGCGAGGCTATTATTTCTGTACATTTTACATTACATTGCAAATACTCTCCGTGGTTTAGTGTCATTTCCGATTAGTTCACTGCTTACTTGCACTTAGCTATTTTATTATCCTCTGTTTTATCATTGTTCTTATTTAGGAGTAGGGATGTTCTGTACCACTTTTTTTTCCAGACCAATACCTGTATGAGTCTTCACTCTTTCAGTACTCACCAATACCGAGCACTGAGTACTTTTGTGATCTAAAATTTCATTTTACACAGCGACAGAACATTATGGAAAAAAAAGTCTTCTTTCTGACACAGATGGTGATTTGCCAATGTGGTTAAAGTGTCGCAGTATAGCGCCAACTGCTTCTTTCTGGACGTTTGCTTTTCTTTGCTTAAATATCGGTGGCTGGTATCAGCAGCCTTCATGAGTCACCCGATACCTAAAAAAATGAGGCTGATATCGGCCAGATATTGATACATGGTATCCGTACTTGCCCATCCTATTTTGTACGACGTTCTTAGTATCAGAATTTTAATGTCATTTCCTCTATTGAGGTAATGCAATGCAATGCAACTTTCTGAGAGCTTTTCCGGTCGCCTTACCTAAGTGGATGTAAAAATTCTACACACCCCTCTTCAAATGCCAGGTGTTTGTCACTGTGACCAACAAGTTCAACCTTCAACATTTTGCAACATTGTTTATGGGAGAATTTGTTCTGGTCTGATGAAACCAAGGTTAGACTTTTTGGGCATAATTCCAAAAAGTGTGTTTTGCGCCAAACGCATCATTGCTCATCACCAAGTAAGACAATAGCTACATTGTATCATGGTGGCAGCTGTCGTTCTTTAGCTGGAACTGGGGACTTCAGCTCCATCCCTGGCACATATGTATAAGCTAAACACACTATTTTAGTTGCTTATTTTTACTTCCTCTTATTTTTTATTTTTTTTGGATGAAATTATTAATCTTGTCCTCATGTTTTGAAACATCACAAAAACCTGGCATTTGAACGGTGTTGTATACCCGTAATAGCACCATGAGAGCGGCACTATGTTCAACATATTGATGAATGAAAACGCCATGAAAAACAGAGTGTTTTTATTTTGATAAAGTTCTGTAATTGGATCTCCTTTGACCTGACAGGTGTACCAAATGGTTTGCCCAGTGAAGCCGTTAACCTCATGTTAGCCTGGAGGACTCGTTCAAATCTTAGCATTCTTAGCCTTCGCATTGCAGAATACAGCTCGTCCTCTCCATGCAATGCCGCAGTCTACAAGGACATGCCTTCGACTTGTATGGTGCATTTTTCCGACATGGAATTCCCACGAGGAATGTGCCGTAATTCCAGCCACGTAGACAAGATATTGTAAACAAAGATAAGACCAAGGTGAGGCCTGCGCCTATAATTCAAACTACATGTCTAACGTATTTACAGTGCTTGTAATAGAGCAGATAGTACAAAATGAATTGCAGTCCGGTCCTGTCCGCCTGCTTGCATTCTGCTGAGTCATCAGGCTTTGTGGAAGCCTGTCAACAGTCTGCTCGTGAGGCTCTCGGGCCAGCCAGTGGCGTTCCTGGTGGGAAAGCGCACTAGTGATGAGTCCATTCCCAACGTTTCAATGTTGATTAGTGACGCCCTCAAACTGCCTCAGCTTTTACCGTACATGCAATGGACCCTTTCATGCTTTTTATGCCCCCATGCCTCCACTCGTTGTTTGTGGCCAAAGCATTCATTGCAAAACTAATTATGAGAAAATTGCATAGAAGACCATGAGGGGGTCTGGTTTCACTGTGCCAGTACATTCCTTCTGTTTGTTTACAGTACATAAAGAGAGGAGTAGTAATCATGGAGAGAGTATATCTGTCTCTGCTAATAGCGCCAGGGTATGTGTGTGTGTGTGTGTGTGTGTGTGTGTGTGTGTGTGTAATATTAACTTCCCCCCAAAATAATTGTACTATAAATAACATACCTGAGAAACCACTCTCTCCTGTATTTAAAAAAAAACAAAAAACAAAAAAACAGCCATTGATATTCATGGTTAGATACAACTGTGAATGTAGGACGATGCTGAGCTCATTTCCTTGCTTTACATTACTTTTGAACATCGCCACCACATCAACCCGTTTTTTTAGCCTGCTTTAGCCTACTGTAAGTCTGTGTGTATATGACAAGGGCAACACAACCCAGAAACATGTGACCAGTCTCTGTTTAATGCTCCACGGCGCCACTTATTGGCCTCATGGCAAATCACGGCCAATTTCAACCAATCCTGGAACTCTGACAGGTACTGTTCAACAGTGTCTTTTGAGTGGACTGGACACTATTTGTTCGTTGGTTCCTGGTCTATTAGATCGAGGTTGCACTGTATAATGATAATGACAATGGCTTACCAAGCTCGAGGTGGACTGTAGTACAGTAGTTAATTAACCAGCATTTCGCATTCAACCAACATACCACGTTCCCCTCGGCACCTAGACCCCTCCCCCCTGACTGTGCAGTCCAACGTGCATCATCACCGTGTCAGCTGGCAGCATCGTAGCATGACATCATCACATATCACAACGGGAGCCTTCTCGCCTCCGGAGGAGGCGAGCGCGCGCCGCAGCCTCGTGTGGGTTCGCGTCTCGCATACTGTAAAAGCCACCCTTCTTCCCTCACCCACCTGCCTTAACGCATTCTTTCTGGCTCCCCCCTCTCTCTCGTTCCTTGTCACGTTTCAGGCAGTGTGCGCTTGCAGAACGACGGCATCATGGAGACTGGCGGCATCGTTGCCGCGGTGATCGAGGATGTCAGCTCACGGCCCCGGAGGGACCCGGGAAGTAGTCACATCCTTGAGAGGTGAGACCATCTCTTATTCCCTGCGCTTACAGGTCATATAGAGTCAACATCAAGACCAATAAATGTATGTGTGTTTTATGCACAGCCATTTGCAGTCTTCCAAGCAGCGTGACTTCACGTTACAATGAGTAATGTGTGTTCTCATGTCACTGAGCTCATCACTCTGAATAAGTGTGACAATGCCCGTGGCCCGCCCCTCTCGTCTTTTTGTTGCTAATAAAAGTCGACCTCATCCTGTTCCCCACCCCTCTCACCCCCGAAGTCACTGAGTCACATTCGGAGTCAGGCTTTTGTGAGGCGCTCGACTCGTGGCTGGCCGCCTTTATGGTTGCCTGAATAGGTGAGCTTCACTCTGCTTGGCATACACAAAAGCCACAGAGAGGCTGCGCTTCCCTTCTGCTTTGTCATGTCTTACTGGCGAAATGGTGAGAATCTTATCAGTCACATGTCGAATGACTGGGCTTTGCTCGAGCAGCGTCATGATTTGAGGGTGACACACACACACACACACTGTCGACTCACATGCCCTATCTGCTGTATGTGAGAGAATTGCAGTTATATCAGATGGAAGACGCTTCGTGTCATTGAAAAAAAAAACTACTGGGAAGAATCATGTCGCAGGGGAGCTGGAGCCTGTGCCAGCCGACTTTGGGGGGGAGGTGGGGTACGCCCTGGATTGGACTTGCAGGACTCATATAGACAAAAAAAAAAAACAAAAACTGTTCATACGCATGTTCACACCTCTGTACAATTTGAGTCTTCCATTATCACAGGCGTCTTGGGAAAAATTGGTGAAGAAAAAAATCTCAATTGGCTAAAGTATTAGCCTCGAACATCTATGTACTTCGCTGCAGAGTAGCAGGTGTGTACTAAGGGAGTTATTAGGGGATAGGCCTTTCATTTGTAGAAATACATTTTGATGGTACACTATTAGAGGAACCGAGAACTAAGCAGAGGTTCTGAAGGAATCGAGCCTTTTCCGTTGCTGGTCCCTCTCTTTGGAATGACCTCAAACTGAACATTTGGCAAGCCTCCTCGCTGCCCATCTTTGAAACTCGTCTTAAAACTCATTCTTATTCTTTGGCTTTTGACTCAGCATGAGACTTGATTTTTAGTTTTGTTGTTTTTGGGCTTTCTACTGTCTTTGTTTCATGTTGTGTGAATTATTTTTGCTACGTGTACAGCACTTTGTATGCAGCGGGGGGTGTTTTAAAGTGCTCTAGAAATACAGTTGAGTTGAGAATTTTTAGCTGAGGCAGCCAGTCCGGGGTCTACCCCACCTCGCGAGCATAGGCTCTCGCTTATGCATGACCTGAATAAGGATATTAAGGATATGCAGTACAGGGAAGAAAAATTGATGTTTTTTTTTTTCCCAGCTTTCACTTTAAACTCGACAGTGCATGTCAGCTTTATTGATGCCATATCTACTCTGTGGGCATATTGTGCTGCAGTCAGAAATTTGACATCTAACAGTGCTATTTTATAGTAAATGCAACCAAGTGTCTATTGTTTTTACTGAGGAGTCCATTTGAAGTGTGCTATTTATTCTCGTTGACAACACACCTGACGATCAGTTGGGGTTTGGTTTTCACCAGAGCAGAGGCCATAATTTGAGGAATTTACAATTTGGGGCTCATGACTTACACATGCTGTGTCTAATGATTAACACGTTACGGTTGTCAGAGGGTGTGCCAGAACAGGTTCCTGCTTTAAGACCAAACTATTTATAATAGCCAATCTAGTGAGAGGGATAACACAAGTTTGAGTTTCTAAACGAGAACATACCAGTCCCGGTATGGGTCAGCACCAAATGGTACACCTTCATTGATACCCACTGCATTTCCATTTTCCATTTTACAATGACAACTAAAAGTGACAATTCTTCTTTGGCCCCACTCACCCCATTTCGGCAGTTAGTTCATTGTGCTTGCTGACTAACAAAACACGATGAAAGCACGGCACAAACTGAAACGTGGCTTCAGGGGGACTGCCAAACAGACAGCTTCCTCTCTCAAGCCTTCATCTTCATTTTGTTTTCCTGCAGAGACATGGCACCATTCAGTCAGCCGAACAAAGACCAAGTCTTACCTCCAGCTAGCAGCAGCAGTCCCTTAGACGAGAGACAACCACAGGACATAAAGGTACGCACGCCCCCATGCACACACACACACACACACACACACACACACATACACACACACACACACACACACACACACACACTGGTGGCTTGGTGATTGACAACATGATAAAGACGAAGGTGAAGCTCTCCATCTGCACGTGGGCCACTGACGCGATGCCTCACGAAAGTGTGCTCTTTTACGAAAGCCGCGCTTTGTTGTTTATCTTGAAAGGTGATGTAATTGCCCTAGATAGTCTTGTTAACTAAGTGCTTTTACTGTCGAGCGCCTTGAATGGAAACGTAACGCTGGGAGGGAAAACATTAAGTGCACTCATGTCTCGGTAGTGTCTGCATCTCTTTGTGGACATGATCATCGGGTTGGTTGAGTGTGCGATTCTGAGATGATCTTAATGTAGTTTACATCTGATTTCAATATTCAAACAAACGCTAGCATACTGCAGACCTGTTCAATGTCAAATCCAGAATAGCTATTGGTAGATTGCAGACCTCTAACAAGATTAAGTTGTTCACAAAAGGGGTGTTGGTGTTTGTATGTCCAACTGTGTGACTGTTTCTGCAGTCGGGGGTGTACGCTCTGACAAGAACAAGGTAGTAATTGGCAAAAATTAGTTTTAGCGCAAACATAAATAGATCTCTTGCCTGTTAGCAGCCGTTTTAATACTTGCTACGCAGGCGATGATGTAAGAAGATGGGATTGTGTGACGTATCTTGCACGGCAAAACATAATGTCTCATAAAAACGATATTCGTCGTAGTTTTTCTGTAATCTTTGTTCTTGCTCGGCCGAGTTCACAAGAAAGGTTCCATTCACATCCCATCATGACATGAAATAGGATCTTCGCTGTATGAGTTATCAATGATCAACTTTCCGCGTCGAGCGTCCACGTTTGCTGTATTTGTTTGGCAGGCGCGGAGTGATGACATTGTGGCCGAGCCCCTCTTGCGCTCCTGCGTCAGCACGGCAAGCATGAAGGTCAAGAACATGAAGAAGTAGGTGCTCCCTGCTATTACGGGCTGCAAATCAGGCCTCTTATCCAGGACAGTGCGATGAGCTCAGTCTCCCGTTGTGCTTCTTCGCTTTCTAGTCCCTGTCACTTTTCCCTCCATCAGAGCATCAGAATAGCGAGGTGACACTGTTGTGCTTTGTGTTTGTAGGCTAACCTTTCCCAGAGGTCATTTTCCCCGTCTGGCAGAGTGCGCACACTTCCACTACGAGACTGCCGACTTTGGGAACGTTGAGGTAAGAGCCCCGTTAAAAAACATTTTGAAATGGCAATGATCCATATACTTGTTTGCGTTTTGCATGTCGTACATACAGCTCCTTTTTTTTTTTTTTTTTTTTTAAAGATCCCCTTTCCCCAGAAATAACATCCAGTATGTAACATCCATAACTGTATTTCACACGTTTTTTCTTTTTTTGGTCCCACTCCCACCAGTTTGTTAGTACTGTCAGTTGTAATCTCTTAATCCAGCTCCCGCAACCGCTTTAAACCCGTGATCTCGCCTATTAATTTGACAATAAACCACATGGAATCAGCTTATGAGTTTATAAATTGACGTCTTTAATGTGGCTCCTGTGAAATCCAAATAAAGGTCTGGTGCTAGCTTTGCTCAAAACCCAACTCACCTATGCTATGGTCAGCTAATTGGGTTTGAAACACTTTCTCAGCATAAATCATCTGTCTTCCACACATTTTCTTTTACGTCCAGTTCATATAGGCAAACATTTTTCTCTTGATCACCCAAATTGACCTAAGATGTAGGCGGCAGGTTGGGGGACTGGCTGCTGGCGGCCCGTGATGGCCAGGACCAGCCTGGAGCTACACCGGCCTTTTGGGAAAATGTAAACATATTACTGGAATTCCCGATGGCCACCCCACCCGTGGAGTGGGGTGTACTTGTGATGACCAACACATCACATTACACACACAACATGCACACTGACAATCGAGAGATTTAAGGCCCAAATTGAATGTTTGTTGTAGTACCAAGACTGACCAGTGAGAGGTGGTATAGTGCCACAAGACATCCAGACTTGCGGAAAGTACAAAGAAGTAATACTCGGGTTGCCGGAATAGAAAATGAAATAGAAGAAGCTCGGCTTACTTGATCTTATTTGATGACTACATTTCACTTACAAAGTCTGACCTTTGGCATTTTTATTGTGGTTAATGATTTGCGAAGCATGTTACGCAAAACCTCAACGTAACCATTTTCTTGGATGCTTCAAGTTGCTTCCTAAGTGGCCATCATTCCATTCCCTATCAAAATCACACACACACACACACACACACACACACACATAAAAGGATTTCCGGTCGTAAATACTGAACAGGCATTTCGTTTAGTCTGACATTAGCATTCCCCTCAAAGCGCTGCTCTTGCCTCAACTAAGTAGCAAGGTTCGCGCTTTAGGCAGTGTCCCAATTTAGGGAGGCTGCAGTTGAAAGACAATTACGCAAACACTTTGCCCCTCTGGACTGTGTGAGAATCCAGCCGAAGCGACATCTCCCGACTGTGGATATTAAGGACCCCATATGTGCAATTTGTCCCTTCTTAGTGAAAGCTAATCGCAGCGTTAGGGAGCTGTCAGTCATGGTGAGTTTGCACGCTCTATTGAGGTCATGGGATGATTGCAGTCACCTGTGTTTGAATGTGTGTGTGCGTCGAGGTGGGATGTAAGGGTGGGGCCAAGGTTGTTTGGTTCAGATGCAGTCAAGTGGCTGTGGCTGTTGAGTCAAGCGTTTGTCTGTAGTTCAGGTTCTCTGGCTGCAGAGGGCAGCAGGTGTGCACCTTCACCAAGCAGCCTTGGGCTGAATGCCACGAACTGGACCCAGGTCTGGGGAAAAAAAATACTTTTTAGGATGCAAGAAAGGTTGGTGAGATTTTTTACATGTCAGGAGTGTAAAGTGTAGAACAAACACAACATTGCGAACAATGCTGTGATGGCAGACTACGGCTTGGGGGAGGGGATGGAAGGATCAGGTCTCACAGAAGCGCACAAGGGCAGCAAGGACGCGCGCTGTTTTATCCACCCCCTCCCAATCCCCAATCATAGCCAATCACAGCCCCCGCACACACTGCCAGGGATGCTTTCACGGCAGCCCCATCCAGGTCTTTGCGGCTCTGCCCGCGACGAGGACCCGCGTTCGTTCGCTGCCAAGCCGCCTTTTGTGGCCAGAGAAAGAAGCGCTGTTTAGAAAGGGGGGAGGCAGGGATGAGCGGGATGGAGGAGGGCGGGTGGGGAGCGCGCAGGACAAGGGAGGAGGGGAGTCTGAAAGGGGGTGAGACACAGTGCGAAGCATCCTTGTCTCATATTGATGTTTTGAATGCGAGTGTATGCGTCACCATCCAGCCTGTGAGGAGCATCGTTTCATGAATCAAACTCTTGAAGCATTTTGCTTTTCCTTTTGGCGGAGCTTCTTTTGGGTGGCCTAGGACTAAAAGAAAGAGCTCCTTCCTCCAACGTTAGAGGCAGGTAACAACAACAACATGTGCAGCCCTTTGTGCTGATGCTCATGCATCGCTTTAATGAAAACTTTATTGATTGTAACCTTTTCCAGGAACTTTGTTTTTGCATGAGCAGTTTTTTTTTTTGTTTTGTTTTTGCAGGATTTTACATACACACACACACACGCACACAAAGCAATGTAACTGATTTAAATTTGACAACGCGCCTCTGATTTTGTCTGTGAATAATGCATGGATCTGATCTGATACCTAGACCAACAAACAATTGCACATTGGTGGCGATCCAGCTAAATGTGCAAATCAGGGATTTGTTATCCTTTCTTTCAATATAGTGACAAGGTGCACAGTTTCGAGACTGATCCATTTTAGGTTTCTTTAGACTTGACAGAGGTCTTCGCTCTCCTCAGGGCTATCCTAATTAACTCTGCTCATAAGGTTTGATTTTTTTTTTTTTTTTTTAATTGCTGTTTGTTGGTGAGCAGGATTACAATGCACAGCACGACACTGATTTTTAGAAATGGTGGAGGCACAAAAAAAAGACATTTTATTGCAAATTCATATGAAAATTTTCTTACCTTTTCTTTGCATTTTAAAGACATTTTGTGCTGCCCAGTGATTTTTTTTTCATAGATGGGGAGTGGGCAGCGTTCAGGTGGATGCCCTGGGCCACCCACTCATCGGCCCCTATTTACATGCCACTGAATGGCACAATTGAGCTTCAAGGTTTCAAAGATGTGTGTTTTATTTATTTGTTGTTGTTTTTTTGTTGGCAGGATTAAACAAAAATGTATCAATTTGGTGCCAAATTATGGTCGGCCTAGCCTGAAGGGGGTGCAGTTCTCAATGCAAGTCGAGCCTTTCTCATGTTTCTTCACGTGAATTTTAGTGTGAATTCTTTTGGGCTGTTTAATCCCACCTCCATCATGCTTCGGAGCTGATGGTACATTATGAAACACACTAAATGGTGGTTCTCTTATTTTTTTTAGCAGACACGCCGTGTCTCATTCAATCTGGTCCTTTTCACCAGCTCGTAGCAGTAAACTGGGTCGCCGTGTGTTGTGTAACAGCCTGTCTCAATGTGCTTCAAACTGTTATAAATAACCAGAAGCTCCCTCGACTCATTGCTTCTACATCTGTCAATATGTTCCCAAACTGTTTGTTTTAATACACTAACGGAACATCGCTAAAGAGGACGTTTGGTTTGCGCAAGGTAACCAAAAAAAAAAAAAAAAATGCTCAAAGCGCTTACATTGATGCAGTTTATTGAATTAATTTTGTGTTTCTGGTGTCAGTTATTTAAAATCTTGACTCCCCCTTGTCTTGACCCCCTATTTATCATCTGCTTCTTTCCTAGTTGGCCTTTGCAGAAGGGCAGAGTGAAGGACCAAAGTGGGGGGCCCAGGACTCCAAAGAACTGCTCTTTCTGGTCCAGATCACCTGCCAGGTACTCTTGACTTGTAAACTATAGGCACTCGCATCAAGATTTGAATCTCTTTAATCACTTTGGACTTCTTTCAGGCTCGAAACTGGTTGGTGAAGAGATCCTACGAAGACTTCCGTGTGCTGGACAAACATCTGCACTTGTGCATTTATGACCGCCGCTACTCGCAACTCACCGAGCTGCCCAAATACGACTCAGCGAAGGACACAGCCGAGGTACCGCATATCGACTGTTCCTCTCACCCTGCGACATTTGCGAGCATATACCCGGACAATCCAGTGAGACCTCACATAAACCGTTCAAAAGACATTTTAATCCAAAAAGATCATTTTTATCTTTCGTGTGTGTCCCACAGGCAGTGTTGGGTCGGTCATCCACTTTAGACAAATAAATGCCTTGCTTTCTCCATCAGAAGTTAATATCTATTGTCAGTCACATGCAGGCCTCAGAGACTGTTTGCAAACCAAAACAACAGTTCCTACCAAGCGTTTTACCACATGCTGAAAATGACGTCTAGCGTATAGTATTGACGATCTTGTATTATGCGACGAGGACGTTCCAGTCGACTCTGATGTGGTCACCCCTCAGTGGTGTGTGCATTCATGTTCATTTTCCGCCCAGTCTGACGAGATGTTCTGCATTTCCCCATCTTAATTTTTGATTTTTGTAGCATTGTTTCATATTAGCATCCCTCCTATAGACATGCAGTTTAGTCAATCAATGCCCTGCTCCACTATTCTCATAAATGCATCATGATGGTGTTCTTATGTGAGATTGCACTTTTTTTTAAGCAATTGTTTTAGAGTGCAATCTCAATCGACGACTGTTCCATTTACAAACAAATCGGAATTTCCGCATCGATATTTCCGTGAGAAAGGAGAGCAGCAAAACACAAATGATAATGAGCGCACACGCACAGACGCTTGCGGTCGGGGCCACAGCTCTCGCCGAAGCAATCACACGCAGATTCACTGACGTCACACCCCACTCTGCCAGTCCCGCCTCTTAATACCACATTGATTTATGCAAAAATTATAATACGTAGTCATTTCTAGATGTCTTATGCTTGCAGTTCGTTTTTGTATATGTTTAGAATGTGTTCGCCGTGACTTCTGTTAGTTTGAAGTGCGTTTTGGTCAGTTTAAATGCTTTTAAAGCACGCGGAATTGTTACAACTGTTTGAAAAACTTTTTGACATTACAGCTCTCGCCGAAGCAATCACACGCAGATTCACTGACGTCACACCCCACTCTGCCAGTCCCGCCTCTTAATACCACATTGATGTATGCAAAAATTATAATACGTAGTCATTTCTAGATGTCTTATGCTTGCAGTTCGTTTTTGTATATGTTTAGAATGTGTTCGCCGTGACTTCTGTTAGTTTGAAGTGCGTTTTGGTCAGTTTAAATGCTTTTAAAGCACGCGGAATTGTTACAACTGTTTGAAAAACTTTTTGACATTGTCTCTCTATATTGCGGATATTTGGTGGATGTGAAGTATATCCCCCGGGTGTTCACTGTATTGCGTCTGAACACTAACAGTGTTTCTGTTCAGTCCGTAAACAAGATGTTGGCCACCTACTTGTCCCGCTTCTCCGTCATCGCTGACAACAAGATCAACTGTGCTCCGGTCCTAACATGGATGGAGGTAGTCAAGCATATTTCTGTGTGTGTGTGTGAAGTACAATGTAGTCTGCATCTCGTGGCGGCATGTTAATGCTCATCTATTTTTTAAATTTTTTTTTTTTAATAAAGTAACGAAAGACTGTGCTCAAAATGTGTTCTGCAGATTGACAACAAGGGGAACCATCTGCTGGTGTCTGAGGAGGCGTCCATCAACGTCCCTGCTATTGCTGCCGCCCACGTCATCAAACGTTACACGGCTCAGGCCACCGATGAATTGACCTTTGAGGTAACAACATTACTGTATGCCAAAAGATTGAATGCTAAAAACACATGAGGAAAAACAAGGAAGATCATCTCATGCCGATCTGCGCGATCGAGTTCGGGATTCTTGTTTCGGATTCTTTACGAGTGGAGTTCTGGCTCTTATACACAATTTGCAGTTTAACAGGCGAATAATGTCGGCGTAATTATGTCTTCGCTTGTCAGGTAGGGGACATTGTTTCTGTCATCGACATGCCTCCCAAAGAGGACACAGGCTGGTGGAGAGGAAAACACGGCTTTCAGGTACAAAGCGGCCCTTTTGGAATGATTCGCATTAGCCTTACAATGGACTGTTTTTCCGGTTGAGGCAAATTTGTCATTTTGTTCTTTGCAATGATAATCAAAAGAGACAATCGATTGGAATTATTAAAATCAACGACCGACCTGAGGAAAACGAATACACTTTTTCTTCAAGCTGGTTAACAATTGGACAGGTCTGACGTGTTTCGTATGTAAATTAAGGATAATATTCATCCAATTAGATGTAGTGGGTTTTCAAAAGAGAGAATAAGAAAGGTTGCGCCACCGCGCGCATGACACGACATTTAACACCTATACGATCGTGTTTGTTTCACAGGTTATGACATCCATCCCCACAGTTAATAAAGTGAGTGGTTTTGAAGTGAAATATTCTCCAGATCCTTGCTGGCTAGGCCAAAAAGATGCCAGCCACAGTGGCATTTAGACTTTTTCTGCCCTGAAGCATTTCCTTACCCTTGCGATCGCCGACCTATTTCACTCGATACATCCCCCTTGCCCGCAGTGATGGCCTGACGGCTACACTCTCCTTGAAAACCTGCACGTCTATTCACGGGTCTGATCGCTTCTCAGGTTGGTTTCTTCCCGAGCGACTGCGTCGAGCTGATCAACGACAAGCTCCCTCCCAGTGTTCAAAGCTCGGTTCCCAAACCAGGTACGCTGCCCACTGTTTCTCGACCGCATAAATTCTGTACAACCTTCTCCTGGGATGCGGGACAGATTGTATTCAAGTGGGGTTTTTACCTGTCGTGATCGTCAGTGTGTAAGAAGCACGGCAAGCTGGTGACCTTCCTGAGGACTTTCATGAAGTCGCGGCCGCCGCCGCAGAAGCTTCGCCAGCGCGGCATCCTCAGGGAGCGAGTGTTTGGCTGCGACCTGGGCGAACACCTCCACAGCTCGGAACACGAAGGTGAAATGCGCAAAGGGGAAATTATGCCAAATCTGAATCGGTGGTTATATAATGTGAAACACAAACTCAACGCATGGAATGTACATTGGTGTGATAGAGCTTTGGCATGCGAGAATTAAAAATGGAATGGAAAAATTAACATGAAAAGTAAAGGAAGTCACACTATTGGAAATACAGTCAGTTTTCGACCTTAATCCATTCCAATAGGCTGTTCGCAAAGCGATTTGTTCGAAATCCGAAACTATTTTATTAGCCCATGATTAAGGTCTAACACACTATGCAGAAATAACAAAAAAAAACAGATTTGCGTAAATCACAACAAACACACTGTTGCTCACAATGAACGCTACCCGAGAAAGTGACGCTTCCTTGTAAGGAAGCTGAGAGGAGTCAAGTGGCGTATTCGGGTTTGCTCAGTTTGGTTGAAAACTGGTTTTCGGTCGAAATCCGAGGTGTAAAAATCTCGAATTTTCTGGTCGAAAACCGATTTGGTCGAGAACAGAGACGTTCAAAAACCGAAGTTTGACTGCACTTGCTTGTCACTATAAATTCCAACAATGAAATGTCGATCAATAAACGAGAGTAGCAGCATTTGCCGCACTGCACGCGTTGGTCAGATCAATTCGATGTCTGTTTTTAATCGTCCCAATGGATTTATTCATAGTGAGGATGAGAAAAAAAAAAAACCCCAAACACTTAATATCAGCAGCCACGCTCATCCGTTTACCAGGATTGCAGTTCGACGAAACGTTATGGCTCATGCTGCGTTGTTGCATAAACAGGTGGCGTGCTGCTCGGCTGAAACAAAACAAATTGTACCTGTATGGCGTTGAAGCTGGGTTCAAATACCTCGTCTTTGGTGTCTGCCTTCAGTCCCTCAGGTTGTAAAGAGCTGTGCCGAGTTCATCGAGAAGCACGGCGTGGTGGACGGAATCTACAGGCTGTCTGGAATCTCCTCCAACATCCAGAAACTCAGGTTTGGTTTGCTACTTGATGATACATTTCTATCATCAAGAATCCCTTTTTACCAATGCTTGAAAATGCTGAAGGATTCCGCTCAACGACATTGCATTCTTCCTTCCTTTCTGCATTTTTTTTTTTCATCTAAAATGACAAATTTTTGATGTTACATTATCCTGAGTACTCTCGCTGTTATTATTTTTTTTCCTGTCTACAGTTATGTATGCTGTGTACTTTATCTTTTAAATAACACTCAAACATGAATTGTGCAGTGTTCAAATGCACAGATGGCCAGTAGGATGGCTCCCACGCTTTTCTGTCTCTTATCTCACGGTTTTCATGTGTCAACGTTCAGGCACGAGTTCGACTCTGAGCAGATTCCCGACCTGAGCCGAGATGTCTTTCGACAGGACATCCATTCGGTGGGCTCCCTTTGCAAGCTGTACTTCCGAGAGCTTCCCAACCCTCTGCTCACCTACCAGCTGTATGACAGATTCTCAGTGAGTGCAAGTGTTTTAGTGATTGCTGGAAAAAAAATAATAAAATAAATTAAATAGTGCAGCTCTCTATGTGTGTGGAGATGTCCACAAGGGGCGGTGAGAGTTTTGTGCATGCTAAACTTAAACAAATTGAAGGGGCTGATCTGAAAGGAAAAAAAAACACAAAAAAAAATAAGAGAGAGAGAGAGGGTGAATGGGATACTAAGTCTGTCCGTCTCGCTTGCTGTATCCTCACAGGAGGCTGTGTCTGCAGCCACAGATGAGGAGAGGCTGGTTAAAATTCACAACGTCATCCAGCAGCTCCCTCCTCCACATTACAGGTCTGCTTCACCGCTCGGTGGCGCTGCCTGGTGGCCAAACCTGTAACTTCATGTTATGAAATAGAAAATCAGGTTCAGAAATCCTGAACACTCGTACATCAAATGACATCGAGTAAAATAACATGGAAATGCTCATTTTATTCGAGATTTTACTTAAGCAATCTATTATGTGGTGGTACAATTGTACAAGATGAGCGATGTTTCTAATATTTTGTCTAAATATTCGGAATATTGGGTAGTTGTGCACAACTAAACATATACAATACCTTTTTGATGGTGTCACTGAAACTTTTGTGTCATTATCTTTTTTTTCTTTCTTTTTCTCCACGGATAAGAACAATAATAATAAGTCACAGTAATCCATGATAATAGATTTTTGGCATATACCAAATCATAGGGCTTGGTAGTATCGCATTTAAATGCATGATACACAATTTGTATGCACTGAAATATTGCACAGTGTTTGAAACGTCTCTGGTATTATTGGCTGTCTTTATGTTGGACAGGTGTGCCTGATAACTTGTGCATTTCAAAGCAGTGTGCTCATGACAGGAAATAAATGTTTTTCTGCTTTACTAATGATGACGCTGAATGTTTTTGTGTGCAGGACGCTCGAGTACCTTATGAGACACTTGTCCCGTCTGGCCACCTTTAGCGCTTGCACCAACATGCACACAAAGAACTTGGCCATCGTGTGGGCACCAAACCTGCTCAGGTGAGTCGGACCTTAAAGTGTTGATTGACAGCCATCACAGTGCTCGACTGGTTCAAGTCACTCAAGTACAGTCGGTATTTTGAAGTAGGCCGTGACACTCTGGATGCACGTTTCAGGTCCAGACAGATCGAGTCTGCCTGCTTCAGCGGCACGGCGGCCTTCATGGAGGTGCGCATCCAGTCGGTGGTGGTGGAGTTCATCCTGAACAACACCGAGGCACTCTTTAGCACCAAACTCAGCGCTGTCATTCGGGAAAGCGCCGGTGAGTCAGAAAAACACACACACAGCAGCAGCAGCGTGTTTTGTCCGCAAAGTGGTGCTAACTCCTAGCATTTATCTCCTAGGTAACAACACCTTATCCAGACCCAAGTCTCTCCTGGTGTGCTCCCCGTCCACCAAGTTGTTGTCTCTGGAGGAGGCTCAAGCACGCACTCAGGCTCAGCTCAGCTCCCCAGCCACCACGCCCTGCCTGAGCCACAGTGACTACATCGAGGTCGGGGAGGGGCCCGGGGCTCTGATGGGCAAGTTCCACACAGTCATTGAACTGCCGCTGGAAAGGTACGTTCAAGGACCGTCCCTGCTCTTTGTACGCTTTCTTTTGGTTGTCAACAAATAGTAACCGCATAGAAATAATTTAACAGGGGGATGACAAGCACTGGTCATCTCCGACAATGTGTTTCTAGATAATAATAGCGCACTGGCTTCCATTCTCTCTTTTTTGTAGTGTCAAGCGGGCTCCGAGCAAAGCCAAGAAGTCTCCTGTGGGCAACTGGTTGTCCTTCTTCCACCTGGGCAAATCGCACGCTGTGTCCAAGCGTAAACTGAAGCGACACCCCAGCGAGCCCAACGAGATAAAGAGCATCACGCTGCCAGGTGGGCTCAGTGAGTTGACCTTTTTTTTGTTTTGTTTTCATTTTCGGTTTCACTGACTCATACTATTTACTCTTTTTGCCGAGATAGGTGGGAGAGGTGATAGCGGTACACTGCGCTCGGCAAAAAGTGAAGAATCGCTCACCTCGCTGCACAATTTGGAAGGTAACCATGAATAAAGTTGTTTAATGCCAGGAGTATATTTTTTTAAGTCTTCCCCACTCTGCAGTTCAATACATATATATATACCCACCCACCCACCCATCATTGTTCTCAGAATGAATAAAGTCTAATGCAGTGTATGTATGTAACGAGTCATAGGCTTTTGTCATCAATCAGAGGCCGAAGCAGCCGAGGTTTCGCATTCCGGTGCCACTGTTCCTCAAAAGTGAGAGATTTGTTGCACTCAAACTGAGCCACTCTGGAACATCTAATCTAATGTGTATGTCTAATATGTCGACCCACAAAAAATCTCAACAGGCCGAGCCTGAAACCGGTATGCCTGCCATTTTTAATTGAAGTGACCATTTAAGGTTTAAGTTCACGAGTCCTCAAAAGCAAATGTCCCAGAATGTTTTCTATTTGCTTTTAATTTTGATCCACATATATTAGGCTGTGTTCACATTGCATGGCACGATGTCCAATTTGGATTTTTTGTTAAATCTGATCTTGTAGACAGATGGCTCCCTCTAAATTGTGAGTTTTCATCAGTGTGTGTGTGTGTGTGTGTGTGTGTGTGGGTGGGTGTGGGAGAAGTAGGGTAGTTAAGTGTGCAAACATGCCATAAAACACCAAAGCCTGATGACGCGGCACCACACAGTCCGAGCCAGACCAAATGTCTTGAGTGTGAGATGAAAGTTGTGTCCTTGGAAGAAATGTATAGATGCAGTAATTTCCCTGCTGACACAATTTCCAACTTCACCTCAAAATAACTATAATTTTGTACGTTATGCAAATACACATGATTTCATGTTGGGGTTGAATAATTTTGAAGGCAGTGTATGCTAAACTTTTTGTGTAAAGCAGCACTCATACTATGAAAATATGCACTTTAAGTAATATCATCTGACATTATTGTCTTGTTAAAAAATGGAAAGCAAAAATGAAAGTCTTTGTAAAGTGTTCACAATTAATATTAATAATTTAAAGTGGATATATGCACAAGTTGTGATCCCAAAACACTTTAATATTCATTCTAAGTCATCCTGCAGCCTTACCCTTAAAAATAAATGATCAGAAAATTAGCAAGGTTTCCAGGAGTTGGATAACGCTCCTGATCATTTGCATTCAAACACACAAGGTATTTGGAGACAGTATTTTGGGAAACACTGTCGAAAATGTGTCATGCTAAAAATGACAGACATGCAAAAATGATGGCAACGTCTCAGTGCTTCATTGGTAAGGATGTTCAAAATGATGAAAAATGTGTTTTCTTGACATGTCAATAAAAGACCAAAACTCGTACATTTTTCAGAATCGCCATATTTCTGTGGACATGGTCTTGGTCTTCACAGAAGGTTCCCTCTGATCTTGTTTTCCCTCTCCAGGAGAGCCTCCAAAGTACCAGCATGTCCGCCCCCGCTCCACTAGCGAGGCTGTGCCCGCATACGGCAGAGACGACTCGTTCAGAACCAGAAGCAAACCTCAGTTCGGTCAGAACGGTGCCGAAGAACTTTCACCCCCACTGCCGGAGGACGACATTGACCTCTACCCGCCCGTGGCCGGAATGTCCTCCCTGGATTTTGATCCCATGTCCTTCCAGTGCAGCCTGGCCTCTGCGACTCCTCGGGCACCACGCCACAGGGAGGGGCACAAATTGAGGAGGGGCGAGTCAGATGCCGCCACCTCTCCGAGCAATGTCGAAAGCCCTGCGCAGTTTAGAAAAGGTAAGAAGGTCACCCCCGCAAAAGAAATCACCAGTCTTTAGCATCTGCCTCACCTCCACCTCTCACGTCTCCTCCCCTTACAGCGGAGACGCGTGAAGCTCGGACGGCAGACGGGAAAGAGCTCCGAGCGCCTTACCGACATTGCAGCCCACGCAGTTTAGCGGGCCAAGCGTCAGCACAAACAGACTCCGCACAGACCCTGCCAGATCCAGGTCCGTATGACTCGCTTTTAAAGCCATCACTTCTTGTACAGTGCATCCACAAAGTACTTGCAGGCCTTCACTTTTTTCTCCATTTTGTTGGTACAGCTTCATTACAAAATGGTTTTCCTCAAAATTCACTGCACAAACATTCATTCATTTATTCATTCATTCATTCATTCATTCATTCATTTATTTATTTATTTATTTATTTATTTATTTCGCAAATGTATTTTAAAAAAACACGAAAATCAAATTTATTTATTTGTTTGTTTATTTTTATTGCAAATGTATAAAAAAAACAAACAAGAATTCAATTTACAGCTTCATTACAAAATGGTTTTCCTCAAAATTCACTGCACAAACAATTTAAAATTTTTTATTTATTTATTTATATCGCAAATGTATTTAAAAAAAAACATGAAAATCAAATGTATTTATTTATTTATTTGTTTGTTTATTTGTTTATTTTTATTGCAAATGTATAAAAAAAACAAACAAGAATTCAATTTCATTTTTTTCTTTGTTTATTTTTATCGCAAATGTATTAAAAAAAAACAAGAAATCACATGCAGGTTAGCATTCTCAGCCTTGCTCGATACCATAGCTTGCCCAGCCCATAAAAAGTAAGATTTAATTGACCTGTTTTATTTTTTTTAATTTTTTTTTTTTTTTTAACAAGAATTCAATTTCATTTCTATCTTTGTTTATTTTTATCGCAAATGTTTTAAAAAAAACAAGAAATCACATGTAGGTAAGCATTCTCAGCCTTGCTCGATACCATGCCCAGCCCATAAAAAGTAAGATTTAATTGACCTGTTTTATTTTTTTTTTAATTTATTTATTTTTTTTACAAGCTTAAATGTTAAACACATACAGTACTTGTTAGAGGCGTAACATTTTATCAACAAATATACAGTAGGTGGGTACTGTATTTTAGCTTCAAAAATATTTGATTCATACGATTCCTCACACCTCTTCTCAACTGAGCCATGGAGTAGTTTGAGTGAGTAGCCCTACCTTAGTTAAGCAACTTGTACCATTTTATCAACACATTGTTGCCATTACCAGGCCTAATTTCTGATGCGTATAACTAAAAATGAGCGAATACCAATACCAAGTATTGTATCAGGCTGATATGAGCCTAATTTTATGATATCAGGTACTCAATGGAGAGTGACGATACCAGTCACCGATACATGACTTAAGGCGAACAAAACCTGACATCAACTAAATCACCCTCGACCGTAGTTGGCGCCATACTGCCGCAGTTTGACACACTGGCAAATAATCTGTGTTAGAAAGAAAGTTCTTTGTTTACAATTTTATGTCATCGTGGTAAGTGAAATTTTATTACCAGTACCAGTCTGAAAAAAGTGTTATCGAACATCACGAGATTTAACCAATGTGTCACTGATTGATATTAATCGGACAAGCATGCTTTTGCCGTGCATGCATGTTGATATTCATGCCAAGGCGCTGCTGACAAGCTCACTACCCTGATGCCCATTATCATTGAAACTGTGTGTGTGTGTGTGTGTGTGCGCGTGTGTGCGTGCATGAAATAAAATGTGAAACCACCAACACCCCCCCCCCCAATATGCATGCTCTGATGCAAAACTCTCAGCAACAAATAATATTCTTTTTTTCTCCCAGGGTTGTCATTATAGGATGTTTGTAGAATTCTGAGGATTCCGTGTTGGAATAAGGCTGTAACATAAAATGTGGAAAAAGTGAAGTTCTCTGCATACTTTCCGCATGCACTGTGTGTAGGTAGCATTTTAATGTAGATTCTTATGAAAGCTTTTGTGTCCTGTCCCATCACGTCTTACCATAGCTTTGTTTGTCCTGTCATACTGTAGCGTTGTTTGTCTTCTGCCCCCCCAGGAGCAGATAGACTTATGAGTTCAGTGTCTATTCTCCCTCCTCACCCTTCCCCGACGAGCGCCGCACGCAAGCTGGCTCTGGCGCTGGCCGAGTCGGCGCAAAAGGCCAGCGGCGGCTCGCAGAGAAGAAGAAACCACCCGGCTCGCCCTCTCCAAAGACAGGAAGCTCAGGACAGACCCGCTCGGCCCTCGGCCCTCGATCTCAAGCCGTGCCCGCAAGCGAACGCGGGCTCCCCCCAGTGGCAAACGCCGTTGCACCTCCTGTCCGCGCAACTCTACTCGCAGGCAGCGGACGGACCAGAGAGTAACTTCACGCCCAATGTCAGCCCGCTCGGCTCGGGCAGCCTGGACTCCCGGCATGGCGACGTCACGCCGGAGGAACCCACCTATCAAAGTGTGGGCGTCTCAACTCCCACCGAGCACATCTGCTCTCCCCACAGCCCCTTGACTTCCCCGGTGTACGCCAACACCGACTCCATCAACATCTTCAACTTCCGCGCCGTTCTCGCCGAGACCTCCGTGCCAGCCTCCATCGACGAGGTCCTCCCGCGCCCTTTCCAGTCTCCGTCATTCCGCCACTACGCCTACAGAGCGCTCGGCCCGTTCGACGACGTCTATCGCAATACGCGCCATCAGCCCCCGCGTCAGATTCACTGCGGACGACTAGCTCGCTGCCCTCAACCCGACGCTCTGCCCCGTCACCTCTCGGGCCCGAGACGTGTGTACAGGCAGTCCTCAGAAAGCCACTGCACTTCCTCTGAGTTAGGACCACCCCTGTCACCTCAATACCGACGCTACTACCGCGGCGAGCACCTTATGGGCCCCGGCCAGCGACAACAAGGCCACTGGCAGAGGTGCGAAGACGGCCCCGCCCTGCACCCCGCCATCCGGAGGGCGCGCTCCTTCCACGCCCCGCAGACTAGTCGCTACGAGATGGCAGCTCCTGAAGTCCTGCCCCCAGACTTTTATCCTGAGCAGCAGGCGGCTTATCAGAGGCTGCTTCAGCCCCACTTTGAGGACGTTCATGTACAACAAGTGCTGTATAACCCGTACCCGGACTTGAACCCTCGCGACTGCTCCCGATATCCTTTAGAACCTTTCCAACGCGACAGTATCCGCCACGGTCAGCCTTACAGGACCCGGTCCACCAAGGAAAGAGCGCCGCCTGAGTTCTACTACTCCCCACGGTATAGCCGCCCTCTGGAGAGGGAGCTGTTCATGGACAGCGAGGACATGGTTGAGAATACAAAAACCTCTCCCTACGACAGTCCAGTTTCGCCGGCTGGCTCGACGGGAAGGGAGATAATGCACATTAGGAGTAAGTCGGATCCAGGAAACGGGATACTGTCGGCCGGCAGAAGGGAAAGCCAAAGCGCCGACAAAGCCTTGTCGCCCACGGCTCACCAGCCGCGTCGCGTCCTCGTGAACGAGAACACCTCGCAGCAGCAGCAAGCGCCGCTTCGTAAGATACCCTCACTGCCCGAGAAGGGCTTTGCCGAACTGGGCGACAGAAGCCAAGCGGACCCTTTCACGAAAGCTCGAGCTGGCATCCTCAGGAGGCCCGAACGCTCGCAGAGCACCCGAGAGAATCGCCACCAACATCATCAGCGCCTCGTCAACACGCCTGTGGACGACGAACACGCCGGATCTTTTTCCTCTCACCCCAACAGAAGGACTCGGAGCACTAAAGTGCGGCCCACACAGTACGACCACATGGCGGGGGGATTTTCCGCATTTCCCAGGCCTAAACACACAAGATCCACTAAAGCTGGGCCAGGGTACTCGCCGGCCCCAGACGCCACCGCCATATCCTCCTCTTCCACCGCCACTCCCTACGGGAACAGGCTGCTGTCCAAGGCTCTGGCTCAGGAAGCTTTTTATCAGTCGGCAGTCAGGACACATGCCGGCGTCCATGAGTGACGCCCACTGCTTTTTATGTCAATGCATAGCGGCGCCAAAGGAGAAGAGCACTTTATCCTCTGCCAGACCATCAGACTGTTTTTTTTTACTTTTTTTTTTTTAAACCTTTCATTGAACCTGCTGCTAGTGTCACCTTCGCCAATGAATCTTTCATTTTGAGCAGGGCCGCGGAACCAAGTATGGCCCAGACATGACCCATCAAGCAATCCTACAATACAAAGAAATCAAACATTGATATCTGCTCTTATTTGTCACTAAGTCTGAAATATAATTTTTGTTTCAGGTAGTACATATCTAAAAGAGTCAGTTAAAAAAACACATATTCCCAACATCAGTTTTTATAATTATTTTAAACTATTTTAACCTTCATTATACATCAAATATGAATCATATTTTGGTGATTTGTGTCTGCATGTATGAAAGAAACTGGGGCTACAATTAACTGAATAATTTGATGACAGAAAAGGTTGAAGCAAAGTCTCTGCCTCGAAACTTTGCAGGGATCTTTTTAAAAAAATGTTTTTGAGCTAGTTTAATATTGTATAATCGCTTATGAGAATGTATTGTAGTGCCCGCAAGTGGTCTAGGCACTGGTGATGAGGTGTTTTTTTTTTTTTTTTTTTTAAATAAGAAAACGCGTAATAACATTTATATGCAAGCTGCTGATGGCCACAGCTTGCTTGCAATTGGTTGAATTTGAATCAGTTGAAGCCCAGGTTGCAGCCAGCCATCTTGACTTTCTCATTTGCTGATGCCCAACGTCACTCAATAGGCCAGGTTGCAGCTTTGAAAGCCACACAAACTCAGTCATGGATGTTACATTAGAACGTAAAATGGCAACCCCAGGTTTAAAAAAAACATACAAAAAAAACCTGCATTTCACATGCATCTTATTATTTTTCGTAACCGATGGGATGATCAGTAGTGTACTCAATTCTAAAAATATTTGATCGCTGCAACAATTTCCTTCTTACATAATACAATTCATCTTTATTTATATAGCACTTTCACAATAACAGCAGCTGTCACAAAGCTTAACATTATCTGATATTAAGAGGCATGCTTTGAATGCGGAGGAGTCCAGCCATCTTGAGGACAAATTGAACAATGGAAGAGTAGAAATTGAACCGTTAACTGAAGGGATTGTATTTGCTTGTGTTTTGATAAATTTGTGTTGATTTTTTATTTGGGTGGGGGGGGGGGGGGAGAATAATTTGGATAAATTGAATGGTCCGTGTTGGGACAACTGGTTGCCCATCTCTGCTTTAGGGCTTTTCAATTCAGCAGACAAAATGGCTGTCATGTTTTAATTGCATACAACCCAAGGGACGACAAGGTAAACTTTGATTATTTGGATCTCAAAATTACCTTCAGACCGTGTATAGAAAATGTCTTTTGTTTAAAAAGTGTCGTGCTATATGTTTTGTACAATGACACGCAGCTAACTAAAAACATGGCCAATGTACTGTACTTGTCTCACTGCAGTCAGCTCAGACTGAAAAATACTTTGTAAGAAGAAAACACATTGTCTTAATTTTGGACATTGGTGTGACGTCGCCTTCAAACCTCTCGATAGAAACATCCGCTATATTTTTCTGCGTGAAATTACAAATGCTTGCTCGCTTGCTCAGAATCGTCCCGTAATGCAAATGAGCACTTTTTCAAAACGAGAATCAACCTCATTGCAATCGCCGACTTCTTTGATGTTTTACGCCCTCGTGTATACACAATCCGCTCTGTCCCTTCGATTGACGCAGCTCGCCCTCTGAGAAAAGTCTATTTTTGTCTAATGCTGTTTGTCACCCAAATGGTGGAACTGTGACATAACTGATTATTCTCTATGTTTTACTCTAAAGTTATGTAGAGGAGTTTATTCTAATAAGACATGTTCATTTCTAGTGCTTGTCTTCAAAGAGAGAATAAATATATTATCATGCATTACAAATATTTTCCTTTTTTCTCTCCATTTTATTAGCGTCATGCCGAGTGACGTTTCTAATATTTTGGCTACCGTTCACCCTCTTGTAGTACTGCTTGCGGTCACTAGGTGGTGCTCCAACACTTCAGACAGCCTCAACGCCCATCGCAGTTTGATTTGATCTCCTTCCTGTGCAGAGGATCATGGATGACTCACTGCTGTTAGTTACTCGGGAGACGTGCAATGTGTGCGCACTTCATGACGTGGGTCGACATCCGTATGCGGCAAATGTAGCAAATGTATGGTCCAGTGCATGGTGTCAATGGCCATGAGCATTATATGCAGTCATTGATTATTCATGTGCACATTGGCATTCAAAGCGCATGCTCACTGTACTCCTTCTTGTCTCATAAGCAACGCATTTCCATTTTTGTGCCTGTGAAGGTTGAAGGCAAATTATTTATGGCACACTGGAATAAACCATAGACATACACGGCCTCGAGAAAACCGTTCCAAAGCAATCTCTTTCTATGGGCTTGGTCTGTATGGCGCATGGTTTATTCAGCAACAAATAGTTCACCTGCTTGACAGCAATGTATCGATGTTCTGCCTGCTTTATTAAGTCTTCTTTTTCTAAAGGGAGAAGTGATTTGGAAATGTTTGAAAACATTCTTGGAAACTTTTGCACAAACTAGGAAAGGTTGTCAAAAGTGTAAAGTTGGACATGTTACACCTTTTCAGGTGAGACTACTCCAAAAGAGAAAAAAAAATCTCGACTTCAAGTTGCACATTGTATCTCAGTTAATATTTCAAATAGAATTAACACTAAATTAACTGCACAACGTTTCTTTGAAACCCTAATCCTAATTTAATATCCTACTTCAAAACCCAAACCCTATTTGAAGACATTCTTTTGAAACCCTAACCGGAGTTTAAAACCCTGTTTTGAAATCCTAACCCTAGTTTAAAATTGTTTTAAAACCTTACTATGAAACCCTGGTACTTGTTTAAAAGCCTAATATGAACTCATAACCCTACTTTGCAACCCGAACTGCAGTTAAAACCCCTAAATCATGGCCTTCTATTCAACGCTCGTATCAGGAAAAATTTACATATCAAACTTTAAAAAACATCCCTCAGGGCAGAGTGGTATTCATACCACACTTTGAGAATGATTGCAATTAAGCATCGAATCAAAGTGCATAAAATATTCTGTCACTTGCTTAAAATGGGATTGCAAGACATTAAAACTCAAAATTCTCCCCTTATAAAGTAAACTGCAGTATTCCAGCTTATTCCCATAAAAAGCGTCCCAACGTGAGCGTAAATACATCCGAAAACTCTCTGAAGCAATGTGAGAAGAGTTCAAGTGCGGGCATCGGTACGGTTGACCCACCTGAGAAATGATTGGAGAACATCTGCTGGGTGTCCAGATGTTGAGATGCAACAGGTGCGAGGAGGAAGGTGACGTCGCCTCATTGGGGACGCCGGCATAACTGCCTCGCCAAATGCTTCTTCGTGCAGTTACTGTTCCCCAAACATTTAGTGTCTTGTTCATGATGTTCATTTGCACAAGTATAGACAGCGGTATCTCGACATATGAGTGTAGTTAATTTCGCCCCCTGCCACCCCCCAAAAAAAAGAGGGAAAAAAAAAAAACATTAATAAGGAAACTAATTACCCAACTGGTTTGGGATTCATTTCAGTGATCTAAAAATAAATAAATAAAAAAATAGCAACATGTTGCAAAACGTGTTTCTTTCACACAATAATTTGGCACACAGTGTAAGCTGCTCCTCTGAAGCAAATCCATGGTTAAATCTGTGAGCAGACACTTATTTTTGGAATCCATCGAAACGTCTTTTTTTTCTTCTCACTTTCCGATGATGCATACTGCGCCCTTGTCACAGAAGCTATCATGCAGCGTAACAATCTGCAATTGCACCATTAAAAATAGATGTCTTCGTGACAAGAACTTTCAAGACTGTGGAAGTGGACAACATTAACGTTAGCGGTTTGATGCGTTGAAAAATGTCAGGAAAGGCTCAACTTTTCTTCTTCTTTGGCTTTTTGGGTCAATATTTAGTCCAAAAGAAGGAGCTGGCTGGAGTTTGGTCATGGAACCTATCATGTTCATACTATTGTAGTTATTGTTTGATGTTTACAGTTCAGTATTTGTCTACAGCAGGAAGCTCTCATTTGAAAAGTAAGTGCAATACTGACCCCCAGGCCCCCCAAAACAAAACATGTCAATGTAAACATTGATCAAACTTTAAATACTAAGAAAAAAAATATTAAATATGTGTGCAGAGGTCTGGGGCTACAGTATATTCTGGCCTTCCTGTGTGGAGTTTGCATGTTGCCAAGTCAGTGTACTTCCAGTACAATGCTGTACAACGAGTAAAAAATACAGCAGGTTCATGAATCAAATTTGAAGCTTCAGTTTCCCCATCACCAACCGCCACGAATAACACCCATCCGCGCACTGCATGTGTCATTCATTAACTCTTCTTGACATATTTTGTGCCTGCTTGTGTGATAGTCTGCGGTTTGCCTAGTTCCTGCCATAACGCTATTTTAAATCAAGAACCCCAATATTAACGTTGCCTCCTTTAGGAGTGGGGGGGGGGGCACTTAGAATAAGATTTTATTCATGAACATGCGCCGTGTTATTTCAATTATTTTATTTCATTGTTACATTTTTGAATTGGCAAATCAGCTGCCTTTTAAAGAGCTAGCATTGTTAATGTGATGAGGACAATCAGGAAACAATGCTAATGATTGGAGAAGTGATCAGGCTATAGTAATAATACTCACATTGCATTCAGGCTTGGCTTCGCACCTGATGAATCCATTTTAGAGAAGAAGTGATCATCTCGACTGAGATTTGTCAGTCAACGGCGAAGCTTGCGCTTCGCCACCATGGCCGCCCACCACGCATCAGGAAAACTCACATACTTGGCAAATTAAGGTGTTTACTGTAGGTAGTTCAAATTTGGTAGTAGCTGTACAAAATCTCTTGAGAAAAGCAGGACACTTGGACCTCAAATGGCTGCTTTGAATCCAAATGGCAGGGTTCTTAAGATTTTTTTTGTGGGCCGACCCATGATAGCCGTGTCTCATAATTTTCATGATGTGGAGCGGAGCATGCTTTCTGGGCAGATTTTTTTTTTTTTTCATCTTAAAGTGCTCGGGCCTTACTAGTGAAAGCGTTTGATGCTGATGCAAACAGGCCGCCATAGTGGTGCTGCTTGCGCTCTGATGACTCACGCATCCGGCATCATAACTGTGATGATGCGGTGCCCTATTTTTGCAATTTTAAGCTATTTTTAGAAGATATTTAAATCTCTTGAGGAGGCAGTCTGATGCACGTGTTCAGGATATGCTGACTTGACAAAAAAAAAAAAAAAAGCGCTTACATTGCAACACACTCATCTATGAATATGACTTTGGACCTTTGAAGTTGATATTTTCTCAGCGAGACCTGCTACACTGTGTTGGCGCTATCACTGGAAACCAGTAGGGGTGCAATGTCTTCTCTTTTGGCTTTGGCACTATCAGAAAAAACAACCTACATTGACAAACTCAGTTCTAATATTTGTTCCATGAAATTGTATTACTTCATTCCCAAAAGTCCATCTTTTTCATTTCATAGTGTTTTATTGGCTGCTCTGCTCCCAATAATTGTTTGTAGATGAGTGTTGCCTTTTTAATCTTATCCACCCAGGGCCTTCAGAAGCAGTAACATAAACTGTTAGCAACATAACTGATTATTCCAATTTCAAATTCGTCCTAACACGGTCAGCTAGCTGGCCTTTGATGATTTCAGCTTTTTTTTTTTTTTTTGGTGCTCTGATTGTTTGGTTGGAGCAAAACTTGTTTCAGCCAAATTTAACAAGAAAAAGAGAGCACAGCACAATGTAGCGTAATGTAATTATAGAAAACAACAGCATAGTATTGAAGAACATGGTGTGCAATGTCAATAAAGTTAACTTGCGTCGCAACAAAGCAGTTCGGCAGTGAGCGAACAATTCTTCAAAGAAGACGATTCAAACTGTTTATTGCCTCTCCAATTAAAGTTTCTGTCAAACTAAACTTCAAACAAAGACAAGTACACGTAGTGTATTTTCAAACAACAACATAGCTTTTTCTTAGGAACACAAATGGTGAGGGAACATATGTAGACCGTCAATAATTCCGGCAAGCATATATTCTTGATCGCCTGACGATACATGGTTGTTTTTTTCGGCCAAAACACCTTACACATGGTCGTTTTTTGGGGGCTAAAAATGCCTTACTATACATGGACGTTTTTTTCCGGCTATAAACACCTGACTGTACATGGTCGTTTTTTTTTTTTCTGCCAAGAACACATTACCATACATGGTCGTTTTTTTAGGGCTAAAAACACCTCACTATACGTGGTTGGTTTTTTTTTCAGTTAAAAACGCCTTACTAAACATTGTCTGTTTTTTTTCGGCTTAAAACGCCTTACGAAACAGGTCTTTTTTTTCAGCAAAAAAAAACAAAAAACGGCTGACTATACATGGTTGTTTTTTTTAGCTAAAAACACCTTACTATACATGGTCGTTTTTTGGGGGCTAAAAACTCCTTACCATAAATGGCCGTTTTTTTTTTTTTTTTTTTTTCCCCAAAAGCTGACCAAAAATTCCGACACAGTGATCGGGGAGTTTTTCCGGCTAAAAACGCCTGACTATACATGGTGGGTTTTTTTTCTACCAAAAACACCTGACCATACATGGTCGTTTTTTTGGGGCTAAAAAAACCGTACTATACATGGTTGTTTTTTTGGGGCTAAAAAAACCTTACTATACATGGTTGTTTTTTTGGGGCTAAAAACTCCTTACCATAAATGGCCGTTTTTTTTTTTTTCCCAGCAAAAAACGGCTTATTACACATGGCTGTTTTTTTCCGGCTAAAAACGCCTGACTATACAAGGTGGGGTTTTTTTCGGCCAAAAACACCTGACCATACATGGTCGTTTTTTTGGGGCTAAAAACACCTTA